TTAAATATTCTGTCCTGCTTTATTTGAAGTGCAACTTATGAAGGCGTCATAAAGCATTCATATAGGCTTCATAAGCACTACATAGATGTTTCACGAATAATCTATAACCGTATATCATGCTCTATAAAGATTCATAAGGTGGCATAACTGTGTGACATTAGGGGTGGGCGATATGGAAAAAAATTCATACCACGATATTTTCCACTGTCCGGACGATAACGATATAATATCACGATATACTGTATAATTTTTTAAAAACATTTTATGAGCCCTTCAAAGTTAATAAATGACTAAATATTGCTTTTAACCTTATAGAAACAGAAAGGGGGCATTGCACATTTTTTAAATTATTATTTGTTTTACTTCTGTGGTAAACCTGTGCAAACATGAAACATAAACAAAGGTATATGAGTTAAATAAATATGCAGTAACATTTTATTTAAAAAATTATTTAAAGTACTCAGGATGTAAACTTTTTCCTGCCAAATATAAGAAGTGCAGTCTTTTTTCATATAACACCAGTCATTATGAATTCAAGTTGTAAACCTTTTCAAATTAACTTCAAGCATTAACCAGACAGTCTGTATGTTTCTCAGTTAGCATATAACAATTCACTGCCTCCCTCTTCACAAGTTCCGTGCCAGGAACACCAGTCTATTGACAGTTTCTGGCTTCAAAGTTGCCCTGTGGCATGTGACCACATTGCCCCCAGTGCTAAATGCTCTCTCAGAGGGTGAACTTGTGGCAGGGATGCATAATTATTTATTTGTCAGACAACTCAATTGTGGGAAGTTCGATGCGTGAACTCGTCACCACTCCAAAGGATCAGCCTCACTGTCTGCTGCCATCAGTGTAGCTGTCCAGCTCTTGCTCGATGACCTGTCTCTGGGTTCTTAAGGCAGGTGCAATACTGGTTTTCTTAAAGAAGCTCCCAAGGCTCTTCTTGTACTTCATTGCTGATTGTGGAGCAGTGGCAGCTCCTTTCTCTATCTCACTCTGGTCCTCTTCAAAAGAGAAGTCTCCCACGGTTGTGTTCCCTACCAGGAGGGCTTCTGTCTCGGAGGCAGCTCTCACCTTCACCTCCACCAGCTTCTCAGTAGTCATGTAGGTGGTCTTGAACCTTGGGTCCAGAAAGATAGCCATGGTGAGCAGCTCATCTGTTTCAGGGTCGGTGTATTTGTCATTCAGGTAATTGAGGACCCTCATCTTAATCTCTCCGGTCAGTTTGGCTTTGCCCTCATTTGATTTCAGAACCTCCGTCTTGAACAAATGGAGGACCGGCTTCAGATAGGACACACTCACATATGTGTCTCCTGACAGGGCATCTGTGAAATCCTGGAGGGGCTTAAGTGCTGCCATGATAGATTCAAAGACATCAATGTCTTGCCAGGAGGGTGAAAGGTGCCGTGTTTTTTTGCCTGCTGCCAGGACTTGTGTGATGGCCTTTTCCTGCTCCAGGACTCTTTCCGTCATCTGCAGTCGAGATCCCCGCCTTGTCGGGGATTCTGTGATGAGCTTGTGGAGGGGCAGGCTTAGTTTATCGTGTGCACTTGTCAGGGCCTTCTGCTTCTTCCAACTATAGGAAAATGTGCTGACCACTTTCTTGCACACTCCTATGGCCCAGGAAATAAAAAGGTGAAAAATAATTACATATTAATCACAAGTATTCAATAGAAATAACATAGCATCTACTGTAATTACAACAATTTACAGCATGGACAGTGGTCTAAGGCACTGCACTAGAGATCCTGGTTCGAATCCAGGCTCTGTCGTAGCCGTCCGTGACCGGGAGACCCATGGGGCGGTGCACAATTGGCCCAGCGTCGTTCAGAGTAGGGGAGGGAATGGCCGGCAGGGATGTAGCTCAGTTGGTAGAGCATGGCGTTTGCAACGCCAGGGTTGTGGGTTCGATTCCCACGGGGGGCCAGTATGAAAAATAAAAACATAAAAAATAATGTATGCACTCACTAACTGTAAGTCGCTCTGGATAAGAGCATCTGCTAAATGTCTAAAATGTAAATGTAAATGATTACAAATGTAATCCATCTATAGATTTACAAACAACTGTTGTGATTAAGAGAGCTATGTTGCTTTAGAAAACTGGATAATTTATTGAGTAGGCTATTTATTATTGAAAGAGAGAGGATAGATGCATATATTGAAACCATAGGCTAATGTATCAATTATAAATAAAAGCAATGTAATCCATGTGATGTTTGGATATTGCACACATTTACAAATTACAAATATTCTAGATTTGCATAGCTGTATATATCCGGCTTAACGTATAAGGATCAGGCAGTGTAGTCAGCTCTAACTTTAAACAGAGGAGATGAGGAATACAATAGTTATTCTGCATTTTATGTTGTTGTTGAAATTGCCTCCCTCAGCCCAGCTGCAATTATTTCTCCGGTGTGGTCGTCAGGGAAATAAAAGGTCTGAAGGCATTTGCTTTGCAGCTTCCAGTTGTCGTCAATGTAATGAATCTTGAGGCTAATGTATGGCTCTGTGGTTCCGGCTTGACCATAAATCGGCAATGGTAGAGAAGAATCCAGCGTTACGGATTTCGTTGGCACCTCTGTCCCGACATTATGTGTAGAGTTCTGGCAGACATGTTTTACTGAAGTATTTACCGCTCGGGATCTCGTATCTTGGGTCTAGATCTCAAATCAACTTTTTGAAACCGTCTTTCTCCACAGTTTGAATTGGTTCCATGTCTTTCGCTATGTGAAACGTAAATGCACTCGTTATGACATTCCACTTCTTGCTCTTCTTGTCATAGGGAGTACCACTAACGAATGATGCCTTGAGTGACAGCTGAGTGCGGGTCTGGCTTGAAGATGTCTTGTGACTTGCTCCGCTGCTCCGGGTGTTTGTTGCATTCTGGTAGATTCTTCATATTCGCGCACATGCAGGGTTTTCAGGTGGTGAAAAAAAATGCTGGTGTTTCCACCTTTGGCTAGCACAATGCGTCGACACAACTTACACAGTACTGTTTGCCTTTGGCTAGCACAATGCGTCGACACAACTTACACAGTACTGTTTGCCTTTGGCTAGCACAATGCGTCGACACAACTTACACAGTACTGTTTGCCTTTGGCTAGCACAATGCGTCGACACAACTTACACAGTACTGTTTGCCTTTGGCTAGCACAATGCGTCGACACAACTTACACAGTACTGTTTGCCTTTGGCTAGCACAATGCGTCGACACAACTTACACAGTACTGTTTGCCTTTGGCTAGCACAATGCGTCGACACAACTTACACAGTACTGTTTGCCTTTGGCTAGCACAATGCGTCGACACAACTTACACAGTACTGTTTGCCTTTGGCTAGCACAATGCGTCGACACAACTTACACAGTACTGTTTGCCTTTGGCTAGCACAATGCGTCGACACAACTTACACAGTACTGTTTGCCTTTGGCTAGCACAATGCGTCGACACAACTTACACAGTACTGTTTGCCTTTGGCTAGCACAATGCGTCGACACAACTTACACAGTACTGTTTGTTGGTCGAGGTCGGATTTTGTTGATAATACAAGTTTACTGGAGAACTGAGACCAAGTAGAGACTTTTGGACAAGGTGGATAATGGTATAATATAAGGCAGTTTATTCAGAGGTAAAGATATCTGGAATCGCGTGCACGGACCCGTTCGTCAAACTCTTAGGGAGATATCTGAAGAGAGCCCCGAAACATTGTGTGCTGACATTTTATGCAATAAAATGAAGTAGGTTGAATCTAGTAGTTCTGATCTTCTGATTGGTCCTGATGAGTTGGGCGAGGTCCCCTCCACTGTTGCATTGGCTCTGAGTCGGGTTCTCTGTCTTCAGATGTTCAGCCTAAGAGAAGGGGATTTTTGTGTGTGTGTGTGTGTGTGTTTAACAGTGATGATGTGTGTGTGTGTGTGTGTGTTTAACAGTGATGATGTGTGTGTGTGTGTGTGTGTGTGTGTGTTATCAGTGATGATGTGTGTGTGTGTGTGTGTGTGTGTGTCCTCAGAGCAAGAACTCGTGAGTTGGAAGAACTGAGAGACCTATGGCGTGGGTGTTGTCCTTGGCCACCTGCTGACAAGGCTGACAAGATAGGACTCTTTTGTCCATTGTATTGAATACAAAGGCCCAACACAAAATGGGTCATGCACAAGATTTTAGTCAGACCAAGCTATAACATTATATATTTACTACGACAATATCTTAAAGCCAAACCAGTTCCAAACGACAGAGCAGGCCCCCTTTTTTTCGGACCAATTCTTCGTCATCCTGCAAATCAACCTCAATAGCATTATTTTCTGACACTTTTACCTACGAAAGGAGTTTACTTCACTAAATGTTTGCTTACTCTGCAGTTGCGCATGCTTGTTTGTTGACTTTGATTAGCAGGCAGATTGCGTGTAACGTCCATGCTTCTAGTTTTTTTTTTTTGCTAAAAAATACTATGTTTCTAGTAAAATTAAACACTTTGAACTAGCCCACTAGGCTGTATCACTCGACTGAAATTTTGAACGAAACAAAAACGCGTTATTTCATTTAATTTATCATGATATGCACGATATGGCAAAATCCATATCATGGCACAACGTCATACAGGTATTCCAGTATACCGCCCACCCCTATGTGACATAACCTTCAATTTATTTGTTCACCTTTGTTAATCTTTTATAGAGCATGAAATACAGTTATAGATGATTTGTGACCCATTTATGCAGTGGTTATAAAGCCTATATGAATGCTTTATGAAGCCTTCATAAGATGCACTTAAAATAACGCGGGACCAAATATTCTATGCACAGTATTCACATTCTTTAAATTCCTCTGTTATTATAAGATGGCGATTCAATTCTGATTGGATTAGTAGAGAGAGCAATGTATACAGTAGCCATGGTTTTCTCCTCTTATTAGACACAACATACTTCATCTCTTATTTAAAGTTACATTTGTGTTGGTAAAATAGGAGTACTGATTTGACACACCAATGGTTGTTTGTGGGTAGGAATGTACTACAGAGGTATAAAGCGTTGTCATGTTTGTAGTATGACATTTTTATAAAGATTCCAAATGTCATACTACAGTATACAGCTTTGTCGTCATGGGTAGGTGTGATGATGTTTATTGAACTTAAATGATATGTTCTGATTGGTCTGTGTGTACAGAGGAGGGGCGGCCACCCCCAGTGACAGAGAAACCTGATGTGACATCATCCACTAGGGAGCGTAGGAACTGGACCAGCCCAGCACACTCCACCCACGGCTCTGGGACCCATAGGAAACAACACCCCAACCTGCTCCGTAGAACATCCACCACCTCAGGTAACACACAGACACATTCCTACTCATACTAAGGCCACAGGAGGGACATATACAGTGTATGTCCAATGCTGCAGTTGTTTCACAGTTGTAAGCCAACCTATCCTCTTCCAACAGTGATTCTTTAAAACGTTTACATTTTGAGTGATTGCATTATCTCTGACCTGACAATGATGGTGAAAGTATCAGTTTCACCCTTAACAAATTGATGTGACTAGTCGTGATTTCACCTAAGAGGTGACCCCTAATCAAGTGTAGAGGAGAGACTTGCCAGATGCATTGAGGAGAGGATGGACTGTGTGTTTGGACTATTTCTTATATTACCCCACAGTTGTATTGTATAGCTGTGAGGGATATACATTCTTGACATTGACATTCGTTTTAACATAGAGAGGCGCGAAGTAGAATGGATGTACAATGTGAGTAACCTGACATCCATTCAAAACGCTGATGTATGTCTTTTCTTTTTGCAGTGGACTGGCCATTATGGCCGGGTGAGGGTGAGGGCCTTCTATACTGTGTTTGCTAAGATCTCTAAAATGGTTTTGTGCTTGACTTTAACAGCCTGGTTTCAGAGTGGGCGGCTAACCCAAGCACCTGAGTGGTTTTGGTGTGTGTGGTTGATTTAGCTATCTTTTGGCATGTATCGATTAAGGGCCTTCTCGTGTTTTGTTGCCAACACTGATATTTGGAAAGTTGCGTGTGTTTGCATAATGATTATAAGAACTAACATCATACTACCTTTTTGGTTTCTTACTCAATTGCATTATCTGTATAATTCTATTCATGTGAACCATAATTGTTCACTAGAGTCTAGTTTATGGTAACTGGTTTACCGGTAAGCTTCTGTTGTGCTATTGTGCCGTCCTTTTTAAACTAACCTGCCATTATCAAAAGCAAATCCTTGTAGACATTTATTGTACATTTCCATGCCCATATTGGGCTAATTGCCTACAGTCTCTTAGGAGAGGTCCCTCCTTTACCTTTCTGCATTGTATTTGCATGAAAAGGGAGCTTTTGCATGCCATGAATGGTTAGGTGAAGTGTGTTTTATGAAGTGTATACTGAATGTTTGCACCATGTTTGCTCCTAGAGGGCCGTAGGAAATCAGAAACCCCCCTGGTCACTCACGACCCCCGTACGGCTGTTCAGCTCCGCACTGCTCTGAAAAGACTCAAGGAGATCATGGAGGGAAAGAGCCAGGTATCTATCACACCGTTAGCCCATCACGCCAATTAGCCCATCACACCAATTAGCCCATCATGCCAATTAGCCCATCACGCCAATTAGCCCATCACGCCAATTAGCCCATCATGCCAATTAGCCCATCACGCCAATTAGCCCATCATGCCAATTAGCCCATCACGCCAATTAGCCCATCACACCAATTAGCCCATCACACCAATTAGCCCATCACACCAATTAGCCCATCATGCCAATTAGCCCATCACGCCAATTAGCCCATCACACCATTACACAGTTGCTGTTGTTTATTGTACCTCACAACACACTGCTGTTGTTTTACTCACCATTACTCTACTGCAGTTTGTTTTTATATGGAGTAATAAAGCCTAGCTAACCATCACAGTCACACACAGGCAACTGTTCCAAATATAGGACAACATGTTAAGACCCCTCTCATTCTTTAAAAGGAGGCGGTTATTGTTTCATCTGACCATTTGATTTCAGTGAAACATAATTTCCATACACTTTAATAAGACGTCCTCAGCATGAGTTAACACAACAGTTGTTAATAGAAGAGTGGAATAAAGAAGGCCACATTACAAACAGACTCTCTGGGATTGCTTGCAGGACAGCGACCTGAAGCAATACTGGATGCCAGACAGTCAGTGTAAGGAGTGCTACGACTGCAACGAGAAGTTCACCACCTTCCGCCGCCGCCACCACTGCCGGCTCTGCGGACAGATCTTCTGCAGCCGCTGTTGCAACCAGGAAATCCCTGGCAAGTTCATGGGCTACACGGGTGAGTGCTTTGGAGGGGGGAGGCTCACAGGAGTGGGTAGGTGGGGGCCATGCCCACTCCCTGCCTGCATCATTATCATAATCCCTAGAGACCTCCTGAGGAGAGGGGAGACAGCCTCTAAAGTTGTTCACAAATCAGGGTCACAGTGTGTTAGAGAGGCCACAGGCCCTACTAGTTTAAACTGAATTGTATGCATTGTTGTACCTATAACTTAGATCTCTTGCATGAAAGCTCTAGGAGATCTACCGCTGGAGTTATATGTACAGAGGCCTATGGGTACTCAAAGCATGGTGTGTGTGTTTTTTCTGCTGTGGTTGTGTGTGTTAGCGAAGTTGGATTTTGGGTAAGTTGACTGGTTGACCAGTAGTGTTTGAGCACCCCTTTGAAATAGCCCAAACATTGCTGTGATGTGAGAATCTGAGACCAATGAGACATGTTTAACCTTTGATGATGCTGAGATGTGACCTAACCATGCCATGGAGTGACCACACCACAGTAACCACAATACTGCCTCCATCCTAGCTCATAGCAGGACCCGCTCTTCCTCTCACTGACTCCTCCCCTCTCTCTGTCTCTTTCCCTTCCTCCATTGTCACCTACCTCTCTCTCTCTCTCTCGCTCTCTCTCTCTCTCTCTCTCTCTCTCACTCTCTATCCCTCCATTGTTACTGTGGGTAGGAGACCTGCGGGCTTGCACCTACTGCCGTAAGGTTGCTCTGAGCTACGCCCACTCTGCAGACTCTTGCTCCATAGGGGAGGACCTGTCTGCTCCGTCTGACTCCTCCATCAGCTCTGTCTGCGTCCTGGAACCCAGCGAGCCTCGTACCCCGGTCGGAGGACGCAAGTCCAGCCGCAACATCTTCCTAGAGGAGGACCTGACCTGGCAGAGGTGAACTAAGAGAGGAGACAGAGAGAAGAGGAACCATAGAGAGAAATCAAGATTTAAATAATATATTTATCTCTTTGAGGAACTATGCATGCCCCACAGAATTAAATAGAACAATATATAATACATTTTAGTGTATCTCTACGGCATGCACACCTCCCTCGCATGGACCTGTAGTCATTCGTCCCATTCCGCTCCTACAAAAGATGCATGCATTCTAGTCATCTATTCGTTCCCCTACCTCACCTTTTTCCTCAGTGTTTTGTTTCTCTCTGTGTATGTCCTCCATGTTTCTCTCTGTGTATATCCTCCATGTTTCTCTCTGTGTATATCCTCCATGTTTCTCTCTGTGTATATCCTCCATGTTTCTCTCTGTGTATATCCTCCATGTTTCTCTCTGTGTATGTCCTCCATGTTTCTCTCTGTGTATATCCTCCATGTTTCTCTCTGTGTATATCCTCCATGTTTCTCTCTGTGTATATCCTCCATGTTTCTCTCTGTGTATATCCTCCATGTTTCTCTCTGTGTATATCCTCCATGTTTCTCTCTGTGTATATCCTCCATGTTTCTCTCTGTGTATATCCTCCATGTTTCTCTCTGTGTATGTCCTCCATGTTTCTCTCTGTGTATATCCTCCATGTTTCTCTCTGTGTATATCCTCCATGTTTCTCTCTGTGTATATCCTCCATGTTTCTCTCTGTGTATATCCTCCATGTTTCTCTCTGTGTATGTCCTCCATGTTTCTCTCTGTGTATATCCTCCATGTTTCTCTCTGTGTATATCCTCCATGTTTCTCTCTGTGTATGTCCTCCATGTTTCTCTCTGTGTATATCCTCCATGTTTCTCTCTGTGTATGTCCTCCATGTTTCTCTCTGTGTATATCCTCCATGTTTCTCTCTGTGTATGTCCTCCATGTTTCTCTCTGTGTATATCCTCCATGTTTCTCTCTGTGTATGTCCTCCATGTTTCTCTCTGTGTATATCCTCCATGTTTCTCTCTGTGTATGTCCTCCATGTTTCTCTCTGTGTATATCCTCCATGTTTCTCTCTGTGTATGTCCTCCATGTTTCTCTCTGTGTATATCCTCCATGTTTCTCTCTGTGTATGTCCTCCATGTTTCTCTCTGTGTAGCCCTACTCTCATCTTTGTCTTTTCCTCCAAATGCAGAGTTGAAGAGAGAGGAGAGAGACACACTAAGCGCTCTTCATCCCCCATGTCCTGTCCTCTCCCTCCCTGCCCACTCCATCCTTCTCCTGTCCCCTCTGCCCGTCTTCCTTTTCTTCCCCTGTATACTGGGTGGGTTCTTTCTCCCTGCTTGGTCCTACTTTCATTGGATCTCTTTTATTAAAAACCATCTCTCAGCAATTTTTCTGATCCATTTTCTGATCACAAATTGTCAATGCAGAAAACAAGCAAATTATGAAAAGAAAATATTTGGGGTTATTGTTGTTTTTCAAAGACAGACCTTGTTTGATTTTGTCAGAGAACGCATGCTATTATGTAATTGATTACCACTAATAACATTCCATCCCATTAAACAATGTGACTCGCTTTGATCCAATCATCAGTGTGCTACTCTTGCTCCTAACGACATGTCTCAAATAAAATATCTTTCCCCTTCTCTCCTGGCGTAGAAAAACTCCCATTGGGATGAGAAAGAAGTGAGTCCTGCTGTTGTTTTTATGACCATTCAAACTTCTCTGACAGCTTGTAACAGTTTTGGCTTTCTTTTACTTTAGAGTTGAGCTTTACCCTTCTAGCCCTACCATATTGACACTTCTGCATACGTCTACCTTAACAAGTTACGGTAGTATCACATGGACAACAAAGTCAAATGATTTAGTTCAGGAATGAATTTGTTTGCGTGTGTGTCAGTTTGATTCACCAGGAGTCTCAGAACAGTGGGATGAATTCTAGACTGGCTGGGCTACAAGAGGATGGAGGCAAGTCCCCAATAAAGAACCGGTGAGTGTCTGCTTTTGGCCCATCATTTTATACAACCCTTTTACAACTCGTTTTTTCCCCAACTCAGTTTAGGGCTTGTATTTTAGTGCCGTATTCACTGATGGTGCACCCTACAGAGAGAGATGTACGCTATATATACAAAAGTATGTGGACACCCCTTCAAATTAGTGCATTCGGCTATTTCAGCCACACCCGTTGCTGACAGGTGTATTAAATTGAGCACACAGCCATACAATCTCCATAGACAAACATTGGCAGTAGAATGGCCTTACTGAAGAGCTCAGTGACTTTCAACGTGGCACTGTCATAGGATGGCACCTTTCCAACCAAGTCAGTTCGTCAAATTTCTGCCATGCTAAAGCTGCCCCGGTCAACTGTAAGTGCTGTTATTGTAAAGTGGAAATGTCTAAGAGCAATAACGGCTCAGCCGTGAAGTGGTAGGCCACACAAGCTCACAGAACAGGACCGCCGAGTGCTGAAGCGCGTAGCATGAAAAAATTGTCTGTCCTCGGTTGCAACACACACTACCGAGTTCCAAACTGCCTCTGGAAGCAACGTCAGCACAATAACTGTTTGTCGGGAGCTTCATGAAATGAGTTTCCATGGCCGAGCAGCCGCACACAAGCCTAAGATCACCATGCGCAATGCCAAGCGTCGGCTGGAGTGGTTTAAAGCTCGCTGCCATTGGACTCTGGAGCAGTGGAAACACAATCTCTGGTGTGATGAATCACGCTTCACCATCTGGCAGTCCGACGAACAAATCTGGGTTTGGCGGATGCCAAGAGAACGCTACCTGCCCCAATGCATAGTGCCAACTGTAAAGTTTGCTGGAGGAGGAATAATGGTCTGGGGATGTTTTTCATGGTTCGGGCTAGGCCCCTTAGTTCCAGTGAAGGGAAATCTTAATGCTACAGCATACAATGACATTCTAGACGATTCTGTGCTTCCAACTTTGTGGCAACAGTTTGGGGAAGGCCCTTTCCTCTTTTCAGCATGACAATGTCCCTGTGCACAAAGCGAGGTCCAAACAGAAAAGGTTTGTCGAGATCGGTGTGGAAGAACTTGACTGGCCTGCACAGAGCCCTGACCTCAACCCCATCAAACACCTTTAGGATAAATTGGATCGCCGACTGCGAGCCAGGCCTAATTGCCCAACATCAGTGCCCGACCTCACTAAAGCTCTTGTGGCCGAATGGAGGCAAGTCCCCGCAGAAATGTTCCAACAGAAGAGTGGAGGCTGTTCTAGCAGCAAAGGGGGATCAAATCCATATTAATGCCCATGATTTTGGGCACACACACACACACACACACACACACACACACACACACACACACACTGGTGAAAAAATAATTCCATCCATTGAGTAACGGTCCTGTAATGCCAGCCCTGTCCTATCTAGGTCAGCCAGTGTGACCAACCTGTCCCTGGACCGTTCTGGCTCCTCCATGGTGCCCTCCTATAACAGCTCAATGAGCCCCCAGACCAGTATGGCCATGCCCAAACCTGACCACAGTGAAGCGGAGAGGAAGGTACTGCTGGTAAGGATGCTATCTATTTCTTTACCTTCCTCTTTCCTCTTCTATCTCTCTCTGTATCCCTTTCTCTCACTCTCTCCCTCTTTCCATCTCATCCTTTTGCTCTCCCTCTATTCTCTTTCTCTCCCTCTTTCTAGCCCTGTCTGTATATTTGTTCACTCCAATTTACACTCCATTGTTGACAAAGCATACAATAAAAACGTATTTTTGACTGACTGACTGTCATGACATGTAGGACTCGTCCCAGCTCAAAGACCTGTGGAAGAAGATTTGTAACAACAGTACTGGCATGGAGTTCCAGGACCATCGCTACTGGCTCCGTACATACCCCAACTGCATTGTGGGGAAGGAGCTGGTCAACTGGCTGCTGAGGAGTGGAACCATCTCCACCAGGTATAGACATACTGTATCATGGCTACCTGACTGATGTCTGAGTAACCATCCTATTGTATAAAGCAGAGATTACATGAGTTAGTAAATGTTTTTTATCTCTCGCGCTTCTCTCTCCTTTTATATATCTCGATATTATCGCTCTTCCATCTTCTCAATTTCTAATGTATACAAGTATATAGATATCAATCTTTCTCAATTCTACTACTGTATACAGTATATATCTTATCTCTCTTCTTTTCTCTCCTTCGCTTTCATTTTCTAGTTTTTTTTTCCCCGTTTCTTTTTCCTTTTTTCTTCTTCTCTGTTTATTTTTATTTTATGTTCCGTTCTCGTTTTCATCTTTTAATCTTAGTCTCCCGTCTTTTTTGCGCTTTCTCTCGTTTTCCATTTTTCTAATTTCTCACTTTTCCCCCGTTCTTTTCTCTTCTTCTTCTTTTCTCTCGCCTTTTCTTTCTCAGTTCTTCTCTTTTCCCCCCTCTCTTTTCTCCTCTTCCCCCGCCCTCCTCCTCCCCTCGCCTTCCATTTTTTCCTTTTTATTTTTCCCCTTTCCTCTCCCCTTCCCTCCTTTTTTCCTCTCTTCCTCTTCTCTCCCCCTCTTTTCCTTCTCTTTCAATTCAATAATTCAATGGGGACTTTATACATGGAAATTAAAAACAATGTCAAGAACTTTATAAAAAAAATTGGGACCAACACAATAATAATAGTATAGGGAAATGGTACCTTAACAGCAACTACAACAAACAATATTAATGAGAATAACAATACATTAAAGCAATAGTAGTCGACCAATCTCAACATGACTGAGAAGACACATTACATGCTATGAAAGCCAAAACAAACAGGAAAATTATTGACATTACATTACACTTTTCACTGGCTTGTCCCTCAGGTTGTGGCAGGAGGACCACCATATTTGGCTGCCAAAATTGCACATTTTGGCTTTTTCACCCAATAAATATTTGATTTTTTCTTCCTCTTTTATAGTTTCAAATTCTTTGTACTGAATGATAATTTTGGGAAAGAAAGATTCTCTTAGGTCTGAGTATTTGTCACAGTGTAATAGAAATGCAGCTCTGTCTCTACCTCTCCCCGGGGGCAGAGTGAGCACAGCCTGTCCTCTCTGGGCAGCCAGGTTTGCCTGTGACGACCGGTCTCTATAGCCAGACTGTGCTCACTGAGTCTGTACCTAGTCAGTGTTTTCTCAGTTTTCTATCAGTCACAGTGGTCAGAGTCTGCCACCATGTACTGTCTGTTTAGAGCCAAATAGCATTGAAGTTTACTTTGATTTTTTGTGGTGTCTTTCCAATAGGTGATATATTTTTCTTTTTGCTTTGTGATGATTGGTGGGCCAGATTTTCTGAGTGCTGTCCTGAGGCTCTATGAGGTTGGTTTTGGTTAGTGAACTGAGCCTCAGAACCAGCTGGCTGAGGGGACTCTCTCTTGTTTCATCTCTTGACATAGTAGTGTGATGGAATGTTTTGGGGGTCACTTGTTTTAGATGGTTGTAAATTTGATGGCTCTTTTTTCTATTCGAAATAAGGAGGGGGTTATTGGCCCAATTTCTGCTCTAATGCGTATTTTGAGTTGTTCTTGCACTTGCAATACAGTCTTGCAAAACTCTGCATGCAGTATTATTCGATTGGATGTTGTCCCATTTGGTAAATTCAGTATTAGAGAGCGGACCCCATACTTCGCTGCCATATAGAGCAATTGGTTCTATAAACTGATTGGAACATTTTGAGCCAGATTCTAATTGGAATTTCAATTTTAATATTCCTTTTAATGGCATAGAATGCTCTTCTTGCTTTGGTCTAAGCTCATTCACAGCATGTGAAAGCTACCTGTGTGCTGATATTTTAGTCTAGGATGTGTACTTTTTGGTGGTTCTAATAGAACTGTGTCCAAATAGAATTTATAGTTGTCATCCGATTTCCTGACCTTTTTTGGAATATCATTATATCGGGTTTTTAGATTAACGGTCAGGGCCCAGGTCTGACCAGAATCTGTTGCAGATGATCTAGATGCTGCTGTAACCCCTCCTTAGTGGGAGACATTAGCACCAGGTCATTGCGTACAGCAGACACTTGATTCAGTGTTGGTAGGGTGAGGACCAGGTGCTGCCGATTCTTATAATGTTTTGCCAATTCGTTAAGTAATGTTAAATAGTGTTGGACTTATGGGCAGCCCTGTTTCACTCCACGTCCCGAGAGAAGAAGTCTGTTTGCTTGTTGCCGATTTTAATCGCACATTTGTTTTTAGTGTACATTGATTTAATAACATATGTTTTCCCTCCAATACCACTTTCTATTAGTTTGTAAAAAATACCTTTGTGCCAAATTGAATCAAATGCTTTCTTGAAGTCTAAAAAACACGAGTAGATTTTGCCTTTGTTTTTGATTTACTTGTTGTCAATTAGAGTCTGGAGGGTGTAAATGTGGTCTGTTGTACGATAATTTTTTACAAAATCCAATCTGGCTTCTGCTTAGGACGTTGTGTTCATCAAGGAAATTATGTAGTCTGCTGTTTATGATACTGCAGAGAATTTTCCCCAAGTTGCTGTTAACGCAAATTCCTCTGTAATTATTTGGGTCAAATTTGTCTCCATTTTTATAAATTTGGTGTGATCAATCCTTGGTTCCAAATATCGGGGAAAATACCTGCAGTTAGGATAATGTTGAAGAGTTTGAGTATAGCCAATTTGAATTTCTGGTCTGTATATTTGATCATTTCATTTAAAATACCCATCAGCACCACAGGCCTTTTTGGGTTGGAGAGTGCAAAGTTTTTCCAATAATTCTGGTTCTGTAATTGGGGTATCCACAGGATTCTGCTAGTCTTTGACTGCTGATTCAAGGATTTGTAATTTTTCTTGTATATCTTGTTGTTCTGGGCTCTTTGTTATATTGCTGTAGAGGTTTGCAAAGTGATTTCTCCACATATCCCCATTTTGGATAGCCAATTCCTCATTATGAGGTTTGTTTAATTTATTCCAATTCTCCCAGAAGTGGTTTGATTCTATGGATTCCTCAATCACATCTAGCTGATTTCTAATGTGCTGTTCCTTTTTTGTTCTTAGGGTGTGTTTGTATTGCTTCAGTGTTTCCCCATATTGAAGACGTATATTTTTGTTGTCTGGGTCTCTGTGTTTTTGATTAGATATATTTCTCAATGACTTTCTTAGATTTTTGCAATCATTATCAAACCATTTTTCATGATCTATTATTTTTGGTTTGCTCTTATGTTTCTTAAGATTAGCCAAGGAGGCTAATTTGTCAAATATAATGTTTATGTTCCAAACGGCCAAATTTATACCTTCATTGGTGTAGGAGAATGTTAATGCTAAAAAGTTGTCCAGGAGAGATTGTATTTTTTGGCTACTCATTTTTTTTTGTAGATTTCTGTACTGTTTGCACTCCATCTATAGGTCTGTTTAGTACCATGTAATTTATTGGGCTGTGATGCTTCATGGTTGGGTTCTGCTCTTTTCAGATACACTGTGATTTTACTGTGGTCAGAGAGAGGTGTTAGTGGGCTGACTGTGAAGGCTCTGTGAGACTCTGTGTTAAGGTCTGTGATGAAGTATATAATATATAATATAATAAATAATATGGCATTTAGCAGACGCTTTTATCCAAAGCGACTTACAGTCATGCGTGCATACATTTTTGTGTATGGGTGGTCCCGGGGATCGAACCCACTACCTTGGCGTTACAAGCGCCGTGCTCTACCAGTTGAGCTACAGAGGACCACAGTAGTCTACAGTACTGCTGCCAAGGGATGAGCTGTAGGTGTACCTACCAAAAGAGTCCCCTCTTAACCTACCATTGACTATGTACAGACCCAGTGTTCGACAGAGCTTCAGGAGCTGTACTCCATTTTTGTTTTTCACTTTGGCATGTTAGCTCAGTTGGTAGAGCATGGCGTTTGCAATGCCAGGGTTGTGGGTTCGATAAAATAATGTATGCGCTAACTGTAAGTCGCTCTGGATAAGAGCGTCTGCTAAATGACTAAAATGTAAATGTCATAGTTGTTTCTAGGGGGGTATGTGGGGAGGGAAAGGTTGTTGCTTCCCGGTAGGTGTTTGTCCCCATGACTGTTAATAGTGTCTAGTTCTTCTGCTGTTCTAGCATTCAGGTCTCCACAGACCAGCACATTGCCTTGGGCCTGAAAGTGACTAATCTCCCCCTCTAGAATGGAGAAACTCTCTTCATTGAAGTAGGGTGACTCTGAGGGGGAATGTATGTGGCACAGAGGAAGACGTTGTTATCTGTTAAGATAGCCTCCTTGTTGATTTTTACCCAGATAAAGAATTCTCCTGTTTTGATCAATTCGATTGAATTAGTTAGTTCAGATTTATACCATATTAGCATTCCCCCTGAGTCTCTGCCCTGTGTGATTCCTTTTAATTTGGTGGATGGTACGATTATCTCCCTATAACCTAGTGGACAGCCAGTGGAAACATCACCTCTGCACCATGTTTCCTGTAGTACTACAATATTCAACATCATCAATTTCTTTAAGGAAGTCTGGGTTTCTGCTCTTTAGCCCAAAAGCAGAGGACTTCAAGCCTTTGTAAATTCCAACATGCAACGTAAAAAAGACTTCATAACTGTTTTTTCTTTACATTCAAAATGAGATAAACACTCACAATCCAACAAGAACTATTAAAATAGGATTTTTCAATTAAGGTAAACTCTTATTATGCAAATGTGATTTGTTTATCATTTAAGATAGTATTTGTTTCATGCCACTTGGGTGGATGTAGTGTGAGGATGGTGGAGTTCTTGTGCTCCTCTTACCATGACCCTCGGCCCCTATCACATGTGAGCATAGTAGATTCAGCATTTGTTTGATGTCACTCATTTCGTTGGTGGGAGCTGGACCAGTGCTCCTCTCACAGCTTGTGCATAGCTCTGTCTGCCGGGCTGTGGCTCCTCCAGGTGTGGGTCTGTTGGTGGGGGGGGAGGGGGGTGTTAGGCCTCGTCTGGGTGGGTCTGAAGCTGGGCTGGGGGTGGTCTGTGCTGCGCTGGATGTGGTGGGCATTGAGGTTGGTGGTGCTGTGGCCGTGGCTGGGGGGTCCAGGGTACTGGTCCGGGGTGTTGTCTCTGTGATCTCGGGGGGGTGGAGATTGCTCCGCTGTTCCTGGGTGGAGAGGTCGGGATGCGGTTTAAAGCGACGTCCTTGAGAGTCTTAGCAAGGATGGGGACTGTCTCCCTGTACAGGTGAACATGGTCATAGAGACAGTCCAGATCGAGGGTGGGATGGTGGGCCAGGTGTACATTGGGTCGCAGGGCACAGTCCTGGGAGAGGCTGGCGTTTAATCTTTGGATTGTGGCAGGGTGGAAGTCCTTCCTCTGTAGAAGGGTTGACACCACGATCCTTGAGTTGGGGAAGATTGCGGAGGCCTTCTCAATCACTCCCCGTAGTGAAGTCGCCACCCTCTCCTGCTGAGCACGCAGGTCGTTGCTTCCGGTGTGTATGATTATGTGGCTTGGTGACCCAAGGTGGGCCTTATCAAGTAGCGCCATGGCAATCTGCGTTGTTGGGCACCACACCTTTCTCGTTTTGTGTCTAGGGAAAAGTTTATTCTCCTGAACAAACTTCCCATTTGAGTCCATCAACAGGACAATCTCAGCCAGTGTTTCTTCTGGACTGGAGGGGGTAGAGTTGGGGCTGGTGGGTGTTGGAGCTGGGGTGTGGCTGGTCTGTGCCGGTGCCGCTGTCAGTGTGAGGCTGTTCTGGGGGCTGGGGGGGAGGCATGCAGCCGGCAGGGCTGGGGAGGCCTGGCTGGTGGGCTCCTCTGCTGTGTGATGGCAGGTTATAGAGTGGTGATCTAGCTGCTCCTGCAGTCTGTCCTCTGTTCTCTTTCTCTCCTGCAGCTCCTCTCTTAGTGTGGTCAGCTCGTTATTACTGCTCTGCCTGTCTTTTTGGAGCTCTCTCACCTCCTTTGTTAGATCAGCCAGCTCTCTCTTGAGTCCGTCTCTCTCTTGCTGAACTTCTTTCAGCTGTGTTGCAAGGCTGCTGTCCTGCTCTGTCCGCACCTTGGTTAGGAGCTCCTCTAAGGTGTGGATGTCTGGTTGCTGTTTGCTCACACTTTCCCTGAGCAGGACTACCTCTCCCTCCAGTGTGGTGAACTGATCCCTCATGGCAGCCATGGTGGTGAGGAGGGCCTGAGCCTGCTCTGCACTGAGGGGGTCGCTCTCCTCCTGTGGCGTGTCCTCCACTATGGTGGGAAGAGAGGTGCTGGATGTGCCTTTTTGGGTGAGGATAGTGGGGGTGAGGGTGGTGCTGGTGGAGTTTGTCTTGTGGGAGGGCATGTCACTGGTGGTGTCCTTCTCTCTCTCTGCTCTCTCCTTAATGGTCTGAAAGTCTGTTTCAAACAGCCTAAGGTTACCTTGCACCATGACAGTCCCAGTCTTGTAGAGGTTGATTGTTGTCAGGGTCATCTGTCTCTTTTACTTTCAGCTTCCACCCATTACAGATTCCCTCTTTCTTTACGGATGGGTATTGAGAGCAGACTGCTGAGCGCCATGCATTTGGCTGCTCAGTGAGAAAGATGAGATTACTCACATCACTGTTTTTGTAGAGGTCTGTGAAAAGGGTTTCTGGCCTCCCCTTTAGTAGATTCTGTTTAAAAGCTTTCCTTGTTGTGTCATTTTTGGCCTCTGGAGGGTAGAGAATGGACTCAGCGCTGAGGGGTAGTGGGGACATGGTGCCTGTGGGCTCTGCTACTACTGCTGCTGCTGCTCTGTTCTGCTGCACCGTTGCTATGGCAACCAGTTTTGTTTGTCTGCTGCTGTTGCTAGCTAGCTCCTGTTTAGCTCAAAAACCAGCAAAAAGAGTGAAAGATCTTCACACACAAAAACAGAAGATATGTTTAAAGTTGGAGTCCGTGCTTCTTCTGCTTCCGTTTGGTCGTTTGATGTAGTTGTATTAACTCCCCTTGCTAGGCTGGCTTGTTAGCCTGCTGGCTAGGTTTTTGTTGTGTAGCTAGCTAGTGAAAGTCAAAACTTCTTAATTTGAGGCGCAAAGTTACTTTTTTTTCTATTCTGATTTAATAGAGTTGTTGTTCATCACTTCTTGCCTTGAATTATTTTTAGATTCCAGTGTTTATCTCATTCTAAAAACAAAAGAACTGAAATAAATCAGGAGCTCATGTTGAGCATGACCTTTCTCTCTCTCTCTCACTCACACACACACACACTCACACTCACACACACACACACACACTCACTCACTCACTCACTCACTCACTCACTCACTCACTCACACTCTTGCAGGGCCCAGGCGATAGCCATTGGTCAGGCTGTGGTAGACGGTCGTTGGCTGGACTGTGTCACTCACCACGACCAGCTGTTCAGGGATGAGTACGCTCTCTATCGCCCCCTCCAGGTGAGATACTGTTTTGCGGGAATAAGGGGAAGCACCTGCCTGCTTCTCTGTGTAGCCACTTGGTTTATTAGATGTAGCCACTCCTCCAACAGCTTTATGCAGTACGCACTTGGTTGATGCCACTGCAGCCGACGGGCGCTAAAAGCTCACCACACTTCAATTAAGATAGTGGTGGTGGTGGTGATGATGTTCTCTTGTCTTCTCATCAGAGCACAGAGTTCTCTGAGACCCCGTCTCCTGACAGTGACAGTGTCAACTCTCTTGAGGGACACTCCGAACCCTCCTGGTTCAAAGACATCAAGTTTGACGACAGTGACACAGACCAGGTGGCTGACGAGAATGACTACGTCACGCCCAGTACGTATCCTAGCATGCCTTGTGACTCTGGCCCTCAGGCTAAACTTTACAACAACCAACATCATGTCTATGTCTGCTTTCTTCTTAAAGGTCCAATGAAGCCATTTTTATCTCAATATCAAATCATTTCTGGGTAACAATGAAGTACCTTACTGTGATTGTTTTCAATTAAGATGTTCAAAAAGCAAGAATTTTGTTAGGACTGTCTGGGAGTGGTTTGAGTGAGGAGGGGAAAACTGAACTAGCTGTTATTTGCAGAGAGGTTTGGAACTCTTTCTTATTGGTCTATTAACCAATTTATCGCCTGGTGATGTCTGCAGGCAGGCAAAAAACGTAATCCCATCAAAACAGGCTGAAGTTTCAGGCAGTCTTTTCAAACAGCTCTTACACTAAAACGACGTTATCATAATTATCACAAATTCACAGTATTATTCCAACCTCATAGTGTGGAAGTATATATAAAACACAGGAAAATCACATTTTTGACTGCACTAGGCCTTTAATATTGAGAGTAAACAATAGGTAGTTGAGTCTTTCTGTAATGTCTCTGACATTTCTCTTAGTATTTATCTTACTACTGAGCTCTTGAACTTTAGAACTAGTGTGTACTCCCCCTCCATGCTGCTATGCATCAAGAAGACAAATTACATGTTTTTAACGTGACTAATAAATATCAAACAATTAATTAATCAATCAATCAATCAATGCACCCCCCCCCCCCCCCCCCCCCCCCCCCCCCCTCGTTAGACTCATCCAGCCCCAGTAAGAGGACATCAGTCAGTAGTTTCCAGTCAGCGGTGGACAGTGACTCTGCTGCCTCCATCAACCTCAATATGGAGCAGGACAACGTCAACTTCCACATCAAGAAACAGTCCAAGTACCCCTATGTACCCCCGCACCCCACGGAGCACCCCACGGAGCAGAAAGGTACAGAGCCACTTACACACACACACTGTCCCACCCCCATCGCTTCCACCTAAACAGGAACAGCCAGTCCTATCCCCCTTCACTAGAATGATTGGTTGCTATTGTCTTGCTGAAAGCAAACGCCTTTACATAGACTTTTATTTGATCGATTCACCTTAATCTGCAATAGCATAGCATACAAAGAGGAACTTAACCTATCTGTTTGCTCAGCCAGTTCCCATAACAGGTATACGTTTATGGAAGGTGGAGTTGTGGGTTGATGCATTTCTCCTCTTTCTCTCTCCTATATCAGAGTACCTGGTCTCAGAGGACAGAGGACAGAATATCTCCATCAGTGACGCTTTCATCAAAGGTAGGAACTCCCCACTTCCTAGTTAAGTCTGGCTTCGTTATGGATGTTTTTTTGCAGTTGGTACACTTTTGAACTCTTTAGCAGCTGTGTATTCTTTCTATTGAACAAGCAGTTGGTACTGAACATAATGTACTGTAGCTGTAAACCAAGCTATCATTCTCTCTCTCTCTCTCTCTCTCTCTCTCTCTCTCTCTCTCTCTCTCTCTCTCTCTCTCTCTCTCTCTCTCTCTCTCTCTCTCTCTCTCTCTCTCTCTCTCTCTCTCTGTGTGTGCTGTAGAGTCCCTGTTTAACCGTCGTGTGGAAGAGAAGGCTAAGGAGATGCTGTTCACTCCTCTGGGCTGGCACCACAGCTCCCTGGACCAGCTCAGGGAGGAGAATGGAGAGAAGGAGGCAATGGAGAGGCTACTGTGAGTACAGTCGGATAACTTAGAGGTTTGAAAGTTGTTCAAATGTTTTTGTCAACCCTTTTTTTTGTTCATTAAATAGGTATGTGGACTACAGGAAATGCTAGACACTAGTAAAAAGTGGGAGGTTTGGAAAGTAAAGACTAGTCTCTAGCCTACTGAATTGAAGTGGACCATATTTATGAGTCATTCTTTAGATGAAGCAGAGCTCTCTCAGTATGAATTAGAGTGTACTACTGTGTTATGTAAAATGTTTTGCTGGTGAATTTGCATGTTATGTGAACCAAAAACAGCTGTTTTCTCTTGCAAAGAAAATGGTTAACTTCTCTCACTTCCCTCTCCACAGCTCTGCCAACCACAGCCACATGATGGCGCTGCTGCAGCAGCTGCTGTACAGCGAGTCCCTGTCCCTCTCCTGGCGTGACATCATCGTTCCCGTGGTGAGGCAGGTGGTGCAGACGGTACGGCCGGACGTTCGCAGCTGTGATGATGACATGGACATCAGACAACTGGTTCACATCAAGAAGGTACCTCACTGACAGCGCTCTATTCTAATCTGGGTGATTACCTCGACTTTCCTCGAAAGTCTCCATATTGACGTCAATGAACGATTTACACAAAGTCTGAGTTGCCTGCACTTCTCTCAACTCTGAATCAGGTCTTTGTCATTTGGCTTTACGTAGACTGCACATACTGTAGGAGTAGACTGATGACTGATTTAAGGTGACCAAAATGTCTGTCTTTTAACCTTCATTCTTTTTATGTTTGTGTTTTTGTAGATTCCTGGAGGGAAGAAATTTGACTCTGCTGTAGTGAATGGCTTTGTCTGTACAAAGAACATTGCCCACAAAAAGGTAGGTTCCCTCTCTCCTGTAACAACAACCACCATCTCTCCCTGTAAACACAGTCAGGATGACACATAAAGTACCATTTTATCTTGTCTTATTTTAGATGAACTCGTACATCAAGAACCCCAAGATCCTGCTTCTGAAGTGTTCTATAGAGTATCTCTACAGAGAGGAGACCAAGTTCACCTGCATTGACCCCATCGTGCTTCAGGTCAGCCAGTTAGACACTGAGTCAGTGGTTTGTGGGTTAGCTGTCATCTTGGTTTAAAACATTAATGATTTATGTAGCTAGAATAACAAGGTGCAAGTGTGATTTCAAATAACTTTTATAATCAAGGGCTAAGCATTAGCACAAGCAAATGTAGAGAAAACTATTTCAGTAATTCCACATTTGCTAGCACCCATCCACAATTTATAGAAATGAAGAAAAAGAAACGTCATCTTTGTATGTGTCTTTGTTCCCCAGGAGCATGAGTTTCTGAAGAACTATGTTCAGCGTATAGCGGACGTGCGTCCCAACCTGGTGCTGGTGGAGAGGACTGTGTCCCGTATCGCTCAGGACATGCTGCTGGAGCACGGGATCGCACTGGTCATCAACGTCAAACCGGTCAGTACCTCTCTGTACTACTAGTTAAAGAATTAACTGGTGTTATCAGTGTCAAACCAGTCGGTACTTCCCTGCCCTCTCTCTAGCTCCCTGTACTAGCTAGCCTTGGTTGTGTTTCCATACCCACCTTTATCAAGCGTAAGAACATCTTACTTGTCTAGCTGTTGTTAGCTTATTTTATTACTCTTTTTGTATTATGTTTTGCAAATAGATTGTGGTTCTATCAATGTAATTGTTTGCATAATTTCCAATCCCCCATATATATTTTCTATAAATATATTATTTTAAATATATATACAGTGGGGAAAAAAAGTATTTAGTCAGCCACCAATTGTGCAAGTTCTCCCACTTAAAAAGATGAGAGAGGCGTGTAATTTTCATCATAGGTACACGTCAACTATGACAGACAAATTGAGACATTTTTTCTCCAGAAAATCACATTGTAGGATTTTTAATGAATTTATTTGCAAATTATGGTGGAAAATAAGTATTTGGTCACCTACAAACAAGCAAGATTTCTGGCTCTCACAGACCTGTAACTTCTTCTTTAAGAGGCTCCTCTGTCCTCCACTCGTTACCTGTATTAATGGCACCTGTTTGAACTTGTTATCAGTATAAAAGATACCTGTCCACAACCTCAAACAGTCACACTCCAAACTCCACTATGGCCAAGACCAAAGAGCTGTCAAAGGACACCAGAAACAAAATTGTAGATCTGCACCAGGCTGGGAAGACTGAATCTGCAATAGGTAAGCAGCTTGGTTTGAATAAATCAACTGTGGGAGCAATTATTAGGAAATGGAAGACATACAAGACCACTGATAATCTCCCTCGATCTGGGGCTCCACGCAAGATCTCACCCCGTGGGGTCAAAATGATCACAAGAACGGTGAGCAAAAATCCCAGAACCACACGGGGGGACCTAGTGAACGGCCTGCAGAGAGCTGGGACCAAAGTAACAAAGCCTACCATCAGTAACACACTACGCCGCCAGGGACTCAAATCCTGCAGTGCCAGACGTGTCCCCCTGCTTAAGCCAGTACATGTCCAGGCCCGTCTGAAGTTTGCTAGAGTGCATTTGGATGATCCAGAAGAGGATTGGGAGAATGTCATATGGTCAGATGAAACCAAAATAGAACTTTTTGGTAAAAACTCAACTCGTCGTGTTTGGAGGACAAAGAATGCTGAGTTGCATCCAAAGAACACCATACCTACTGTGAAGCATGGGGGTGGAAACATCATGCTTTGGGGCTGTTTTTCTGCGAAGGGACCAGGACGACTGATCCGTGTAAAGGAAAGAATGAATGGGGCCATGTATCGTGAGATTTTGAGTGAAAACCTCCTTCCATCAGCAAGGGCATTGAAGATGAAACGTGGCTGGGTCTTTCAGCATGACAATGATCCCAAACACACCGCCCGGGCAACGAAGGAGTGGCTTCGTAAGAAGCATTTCAAGGTCCTGGAGTGGCCTAGCCAGTCTCCAGATCTCAACCCCATAGAAAATCTTTGGAGGGAGTTGAAAGTCCGTGTTGCCCAGCGACAGCCCCAAAACATCACTGCTCTAGAGGAGATCTGCATGGAGGAATGGGCCAAAATACCAGCAACAGTGTGTGAAAACCTTGTGAAGACTTACAGAAAACGTTTGACCTGTGTCATTGCCAACAAAGGGTATATAACAAAGTATTGAGAAACTTTTGTTATTGACCAAATACTTATTTTCCACCATAATTTGCAAATAAATTCATAAAAAATCCTACAATGTGATTTTCTGGATTTTTTCTCTCATTTTGTCTGTCATAGCTGACGTGTACCTATGATGAAAATTACAGGCCTCTCTCATCTTTTTAAGTGGGAGAACTTGCACAATTGGTGGCTGACTAAATACTTGTTTTCCCCCACTGTACATACATACAGTACCAGTCAAAAGTTTGGATACACCTACTCATTCAAGGGTTTTTCTTTATTTTTACTATTTTCTACATTGTAGAATAATAGTGAAGACATCAAAACTATGAAATAACACATATGGAATCATGTAGTAACCAAAAAAGTGTTAAACAAATCAAAATATATTTGAGATTCTTCAAATAGCCACCCTTTGCCTTGATGACAGCTTTGCACACTCTTGGCATTCTCTCAACCAGCTTCATGAGGTAGTCACCTGGAATGTATTTCAATTAACAGGTGTGCCATCTTAAAAGTTAATTTGTAGAATTCTTTCCTTCTTAATGCGTTTGAGCCCATCAGTTGTGTTGTGACAAAGGTAAGGTTGGTATACAGAAGATAGCCCTATTTGGTGAAAGACCAAGTCCATATTATGGCAAGAACAGCTCAAATAAGCAAAGAGAAACAACAGTCCATCATTACTTTAAGACATGAAGGTCAGTCAATACGGAATATTTCATGAACTTTGAACGTTTCTTCAAGTGCAGTCGCAAAAACCATCAAGCGCTATGATGAAACTGGCTCTCATGAGGACCGCCACAGGAATGGAAAACCCAGAGTTACCTCTTCTGCAGAGGATAAGTTCATTAAAGTTACCAGCCTCAGAAATTGCAGGCCAAATAAATGCTTCACAGAGTTCAAGTAACAGACTGGTGGAAATGTGTCCTTTGGTCTGATGAGTGCAAATTTGAGATTTTTGGTTCCAACCGCTGTGTCTTTGTGAGACGCGGTGTGGGTGAACGGATGATCTCCGCATGTGTATTTCCCATCGTAAAGCATGGAGGAGGAGGTGTTATGGTGTGGGGGTGCTTTGCTGGTGACACTGTCTGTGATTTATTTAGAATTCAAGGCACCCTTAACCACTATGGCTACCACAGCATTCTGCAGCGATACGCCATCCCATCTGGTTTGGGCTTAGTGGGACTATCATTTGTTTTTCAACAGGACAATGACCCAACACACCTCCAGGCTGTGTAAGGGCTATTTGACCAAGAAGGAGAGTGATGGAGTGCTGCATCAGATGACCTGGCCTCCACAATCCCCCGACCTCAACCAAATTGAGATGGTTTGGGATGAGTCGGACCGCAGAGTGAAGGAAAAGCAGCCAACAAGTGCTCAGCATATGTGGGAACTCCTTCAAGACTGTTGGAAAAGCATTCCAGGTGAAGCTGGTTGAGAGAATGCCAAGAGTGTGCAAAGCTGTCATCAAGGCAAAGGGTGGCTATTTGAAGAATCTCAAATATAAAATATATTTTGATTTGTTTAACACTTTTATGGTTACTACATGATTCCATATGTGTTATTTCATAGTTTTGATGTCTTCACTATTATTCTACAATGTAAAAAATAGTCAATATAAAGAAAAACCCTTGAACGAGTAGGTGTTCTAAAACGTTTGACCGGTAGTGTATATAAAGAAATCTTGCATATCTTAATTTATTTCCACAATTAACGAATAATATGCGTAATAATGTAGGCAGTTCATAGGAAGGATTGTTACCCATAACCAGGACTGGCATTACAAAAACTACATTGTTTGGCAAGCAATTATTATTTTGGGAAACAATTATTGTTTTTATTTTATTTAACCTTTATTTAACAAGCCAAGTCAGTTAAGAACAAATTCTTATTTACAATGACGGCCTACTTGTAAAGCCTCCCCGGCCAAACCCTCCCCTAACCCGGACGACGCTAGGCCAAACCCTCCCCTAACCCGGACGACGCTGGGCCAAACCCTCCCCTAACCCGGACGACGCTAGGCCTAACCCGGACGATGCTGGGCCAAACCCTCCCCTAACCCGGACGACGCTGGGCCAAACCCTCCCCTAACCCGGACGATGCTGGGCCAAACCCTCCCCTAACCCGGACGACGCTGGGCCAAACCCTCCCCTAACCCGGACGATGCTGGGCCAAACCCTCCCCTAACCCGGACGATGCTGGGCCAAACCCTCCCCTAACCCGGACGACGCTGGGCCAAAACCCTCCCCTAACCCGGACGACGCTGGGCCAAACCCTCCCCTAACCCGGACGACGCTAGGCCTAACCCAGACGACGCTAGGCCAAACCCTCCCCTAACCCGGACGACGCTGGGCCAAACCCTCCCCTAACCCGGACGACGCTGGGCCAAACCCTCCCCTAACCCGGACGACGCTAGGCCTAACCCGGACGACGCTAGGCCAAACCCTCCCCTAACCCGGACGACGCTGGGCCAAACCCTCCCCTAACCCGGACGACGCTAGGCCAAACCCTCCCCTAACCCGGACGATGCTGGGCCAATTGTGCGCCGCCCTATGGGACTCCCGACCACGGCTGGTTGTGATACAGCCCGGGATCGAACCCGGGTCTGTAGTAACGGCGCTAGCACTGCGATGCAGTGCCTTAGACTGCTGCGCCACTCAGAGGCTATTAGATTGTGATTCATCATATACTGTCCCTAACATCATTACCCCTTAGCAACGGATGTGGGGTACATACACACACTCTACCCACCCTTCCCCACAAACAACCACAAGCTCAGATGTTCAGCAGTTGTTCCATCCCGAGCCCAACTCAAGAGAAGACTTGATGTGCGAACACAGTTTGAGCTGTTTGAGAAGGCATGCAACATTTTGCAAGAATGGGGAGATTTGCTTAACCAGTGTCAAGTCCTAGCTCACGGAGCTCAGATTCACCCCTCTCCCCTGAAACGCACACGCTGGTCCCCTGTTGTGACCATTTTCCCAAGCATCTCTGAGCAGTCAGACCATTTGATTATTTTGTGCCTCCCCCCCCCCCATGGGTTACTGCAGCTAGTGTTTTACTACTCTTTATGATGGTGTCTGTTGCCATGTTAGCCTGTTCTTCTGCTTAGCCCATTCAACTGTATATTAGCCATACCTGCCCTCAGTCTCTCTTTCCCACCTCTATGGCTCTCTCTCTGCAGCAAGTCTTATACAGGGTGAGTCGTATGACCCAGGGGGACCTGGTCATGTCCATGGACCAGCTGCTCACTAAGCCTCGACTGGGAACCTGCCAAAAGTTCTACCTTCACTCCTTCCAGCTGGCCAACAGTGAGTGGAAAGTACTCTGCCCTCAACATGCTGCTTTACATCTTAAGTCTCTACAGCTTAGATATTTGAAGCCGTTCATAACACTTATTTCACTTAAATAATCCAACACATGAAACTAACATACTGCAACCAGCTGCTTTCATTCACAACTTCCTCCCGCCTAGACTAGACTTATCTACATGCTCGTTTTGACTCTCCTGAGTGCCACAGCACAACTGTGTAATGTGTTCTCCTCTCTCCCCTTCTCATCTCTGTGACAGTTGAGTTGAAGACTCTGATGTTCTTCGAGGGCTGCCCTCCCCAGCTGGGCTGTACCATAAAGCTTCGCGGGGCGTCTGAGTACGAGCTGGCCAGGGTTAAGGAGATCATCATCCTCATGGTGTGTGTGGCCTACCACTCCCAGCTGGAGATATCCTTCCTTATGGATGAGTTCGCTATGCCTCCCAGCCTGGCCAAGACCAGCTCCTTCCCCTGTCTCCTGGAGAGCACTACCGTCGAGGAGGAGGAGAGCCAGGGCGAGAGCCAGGGCGAGAGCCAGGAAGATGGGACCGACCAGAGCACCCTCTTCCAGGGAGGAGAGACTGTACTGGGGGACGAGGAGGAGAAGCCTCCCCTGGGGAAATCTGTATCGGAGTCCTCCTCGCCTAAAGATGTCGATGGCGTCAAAGTCACCAAGAACCACCTCCTGTCCTCCTCATCCTCCCTGGGGGCCGAGGGGGTGGAGTCAGCAGAGGTCATGACCTCCACTCCATTGTCCAATCCCCTGGCGCCGCCACCACCCTACATCATTGATGACCTGGAGGAGTTGGAAGATGCGATTGGGCTGGAGAAGGGGGAGACTGAGGGGGGGAGTGGGTCAGGGGTTCTGGGGAGGGGTGAGTCGCGGGAGGAGAGCTTGGGTTCGGAGACGCCCTCCAGGCTGTTCAGAGACCCACTGCAGGATGACACAGGTCTGTTTGTCACAGAGCAGGTGAGGATTAAGGCTACAGGCTGAAACATGTTGGTTTTAATAAGAAACTTCCATTGTCCTCCAAGAGTGACCAACAATATCCTCGTCTGTTCTGTCACCGAGCAGGTGGCCTCGACGGACGACCGTCTCAAGACGCTGACGGCAGGCTTCAAACAGGAGCTGAAGGACATGATCCTGTGTATCTCCCCATTCATCACCTTCAGAGAGCCCTTCCTCCTCACGCCTGCTGGCCTACGCTGCCCCAGCAGAGACTACTTTCCTCAACAGGTCGGTTTGTTTCCATTCACTGTATTGATTGAAGGATTTTCAACCTTTTTTCTATCAAATGGCTCAATGTAGTTCAGTAATGTACAATAGAATATCAGATGATCCGTTTACGTGACCATCAATTCCTCTGTACTCAGGACATCGTTGGTCATAGTGAGGATGTCTACAAAATATGGTTGTTGTCATGCATACGTGTTACGCCTGTCTCAGAACACTTAAGTGCTGGGCAAATGATCCAATAAGATATTTTCATATTTGAGATGTAACATACTAGTTCCTTGGGCAGGTGTACCTCTCCCCGCTGCTCAACAAGGACTTCAAAGAACTAGACGGTCGACGTAAGCGACAACTCCTCAAAGACTCCACCCCGTCAGGTGGAAGCATGGCCAACGGAGGCCCTCCCCCTCGCCCCATCCAGGTGTTACCCTCCCACCGCCTTACCAGCGCCCGCATCGCAGAGCATCTGGGCAGCAGCCAGGACCTGGCCAAGATGCTGGCAGACTATCGTGCCCAGGGAGGCCGCCTCCGACAGAAGGAGGCAGACCCCTTCGCCCAGCCCCTACCCCAGCCACCGGTCCGGGAGGCACTGCCACCCAAGCACCCCGTCAAGGCTGATAGTGAGGAGGAGAAGCCAGCGGGACAGAACGGCAGGACCTGGGCCTCCAAGGTGAGACATGGCGAGGTAGTTAGGACACACCACAATATAGGAGGTAGATGGCACAGACAGGCACCACCACTCACTCTCCGGAGATATTAGGTCAGGGCTGAAGAGAAGTGCTTTAATGTATTATAAGGTGTATATGTGCTGTTCTTATTATGTTGTTGTTGACCACCATTACTTCTCTGTGTTTCAGCTGGACTGCCTGAACCCAGTGAACCATCAGAGACTCTGTGTTCTGTTCAGCAGCTCCTCAGCCCAGTCCAACAACGCCCCCAACCCCTGCGTCAGTCCCTGGTAAATCCCACTCAACCCTGGTGGTCTTCAATTCAATACAACTTTATTTATCCCCTTAGGTGCAACAGAAATGTTGTATACCAGCTGTGAAAGACCAGCTTACTGAACTTTGAAAGGTCAGCTATTCACAAATACTTACTTGTACTCAACAGGATTGTCACGATGGAGTTCTACGGAAAGAATGACCTCACACTAGGAATATTCCTGGAGAGATACTGTTTCAGGTGAGGGAAAAAATCAGAACCAGACAAATTGTTGTATTGAATTTACAATAGAACCTTTTACCATCCATTTGGTTGTCACTGATATGTAATAAAATATAACTCAATGAAGCACCTCTTCGTGTGTGTGTTTTACAGGCCGTCCTATCAGTGCCCCAGTATGTTCTGTGAGACTCCCATGGTGCACCATGTGCGGCGGTTTGTCCATGGCAGTGGCTGTGTTCAGATCGTACTGAAGGAGCTGGCAACATCTGCTGTCTGATGAATACCAACAGCCCTCCTACCTACTCCTGGTTGTCACGCATATGCAAACAGTACACTAACTTGTTAATCACCGTGTGTGTTCCTTTATCAGTGTTCCAGCCTATCTCCCCGGGATCTGTGACGACTCATTGCTACCAAGCGCTTTGTCCACGCTGGGTTCAGATCGTAATGAATGCTGCTACTCATCAAGTCTGGACTACCGCACACCACTGCCTATCCTGGTCTCGCTACTGCAACGCTACACAGTCTGTTCGGAGTCCTTATGTCTGACTCTCGACTCCCACTCTCTTGCTCTACTCTACTCCTTCACTCAGCTGCTTGCTACTCACTGCTACTCATCTCTTCTACTCTACACCTCTGTCTACTCTACTTCTCTATCTACTCTACCACTTCACTCTATTCTCTTCTACTCACTCTCTTCTACCTACCCTCGTACCTATCCTTCTATCACCCACTCTACTTCTTCCTCACCTACTCTCTTCTCTCTACTCTCCTTCTACTCTATCGTCTCACCTACCTACTCTACCGCGTACCTACGCTACTCCTTGTCTACTCTATCCTTCTACTCTATCTCGTTCTACTCTACCTCTTCTACTCACTACTCTACTCTACTCTCCTTCTACTCTACTGCGCTCTTCTACCCTACTCTCTTCTACTCTACTCTCGTCTACCTACTACTCTTCCTCTACTCTACTCTACTCTACTCGACTCTATCTCTACTCTATCTCTCTACTCTACTCGTCTACTCTTCTTCTACTCTACTCTCTACTACTCTCACTCTACTCTACCTACTCTCTCTACTCTACTCCTCTTCTACTCTACTCACGTCTTCTACTCGACGTCTCTCTACTCTATCACTCTCTCTACCTACTCTACTCTGTCTACTCTACCTACTCTCTCGACTCTACTCTCTCTACCTATCCCTTCCTCTCTACTCTACTCTCTTCTACTCTATCTCTTCTACTCTACTCTCTCTACGCTATCTCTTCGCTACTCTACTCGTCTTCTACTCTGACTCTACTCTACTCTATCTCTACTGCTATTCTCTTCTACACTCTCATCTCTCACTCTATCCTCTCTACTCTTCTACGCTACTCTTACATCTCTCTACTCCTCTCTACTGCTACTCTCTTCACTCTACCCTTCACTCTTCTTCTACTCTACTCTCTCTACGTCTACCTATTCTCTTCTACTCGTACCTACTCACTGCTACTCCTACTCTACTCTCACGCTACGTCATCGACTCTACTCTCGTACTCTACTCCTCTATACTCCCTTGCTACTCTGACTCTGCTCTACTCTAGCTCTCTCACTCTACCCTTCTACCTACTCTCTCTACTCTACTCACCTACGTACTCGACGACCTCTCTACTCACTACTCTCTCTACCTACTCTACATCTCTTCACTCTACTCTACTGCTCGTACTCTCACTCGACTCTACTCTACTGCTCTACACTCTACTCTCTTCTACTCTACTCTACCTACTCTACTCTACTTCTACTCTACTCTCTTCTACTCTACTCTACTCTACTCTCACTCTACTCTACTCTCTTCTACTCTACTCTACTCTCTTCTACTCTACTCTCTCTACTCTACTCTACTCTCTTCTACTCTACTCTACTCTACTCTACTCTACTCTACTCTACTCTACTCTACTCTACTCTACCTCTACTCTACTCTACTCTACTCTACTCTACTCTCTTCTACTCCTACTCTACTCTCTTCTACTCTACTCTCTTCTACTCTTCTACTTTACTCTACTGTACTCTACTCTGTCTCTGTAGGTGACTCCTGTGGTGCCACTGTCTAATGACTCATGGTCCATGTCCTTTGCTAAGTACCTGGAGCTGAGGTTCTATGGTCACCAGTATACCAGGAGGGCTAATGCTGAGCCCTGTGGCCACTCCATCCACAAAGACTACCACCAGTACTTCTCCTACAACCAGATGGTGGCCTCATTCAGGTGGGAAACACAGACCAGGGCTTTGATTTCCATCCAGCCATACATCTAAACATCATTTATCATTCTTACCACATCTTCAAATGACCTCTAAAAACCAAAACATAAAGATCACTATAGTTATTGTTATTGTGTAGTAAACTGTATATGCCCATCATGCCACTGTACTTGTCTAACCACCAGCTACATCTCAGTGAGACTGCTAGAGGTCTGCCTCCCTCCTCCTAAGATCTTCATCAGGAACCAGGGGCCCTCCAAGGGCAGTATGCAGCAGGACCTCAAGGACTTCTCACAGAAGTAACTGTCTACCTGTTGTCTGACTGTCTACCATGGCCTTAACTTGCCTGGTCCCAGATCTGTTTGTTCTGCATAGCTGACTCCTATGGTTATTGTCCTCTGACAATAACCATAGGAGTTGGCAAGAATGCACAAACAGATCTGGGACCAGGCTAGGAGTCTGAATAATCTAGTTCTGACCAGTCCTTTTCCATTCTCTCCCTCTTCCCTCTTGTCAGGGTGACTCAGGTGTACCTGGCCATAGACGACCGTCTCACCTCCCTGAAGACGGACACCTTCAGCAAGACACGCGAGGAGAAGATGGAGGACCTGTTTGCACAGAAAGACGTAGGTTCCTCCTCGAAAGGGCGGGACTACTATGTGTACAATATGTATACAGCAGTGGAGGCTGGTGTCGCTTTAAGTGGGAGGACGTGCTCATTGGAATGGAACGGTATCAAACACATGGTTTTTTTGTGTGCGTGTTCAGATGGAGGAGGTAGATCTGCGTAGCTGGATAGAGAAGCTGCAGGCTCGCCTCCAGTCCTGTGGTAGTGACTCTCCCCAGCAGCTCCAGACTGTACTGGAATCAGTGGTAGTGAAGAAACAGAGCCTGTGTGAAACACTGCAGTCCTGGAACAACAGGTGAGAACCATAGAAATAAGAATGAATAGAACGGACATGGACGCTCTAACCCTGGCAATTGACTGGTACGCTCGCAATGGCTGCCCGGTATTGTGATGCAAAAATGTCCATGGTATTTTGGAATGTTCTATCAACTGATGCTGGATTGCCATGGTAATGTAGAATGTTCATTCAAATGATGCTAACTGATGTGGCTCATGGAATGTATTTTTTTTCATGTCAGTTGAGTTGACTCAACAAATCACAGCACAGATTGAAGGGTACACTTCTTGCTTTTACTTCCCGGTATGGGTACTCTCAAAATGGCTGCCGGCCCACCCATTATGTCATCATTGACTTGAATGGAGACGCCCTTTCTATTCAATGTTATTTCTATGGTGAGAACACTGACCTCAGAGCAGCTTTTAATGTTTAAACTTTTAGGGGTGGTTTCCTAGACACATATGAAGCCTAGTCTTTGACTAAGAAGCACTTTTAATGGATGAATCTCCATTAAACATGCTTTTAAGTCCAGGACTAGGCTTCATCTGTGTCCACGAAACTGGACCTTAGGGCTGAATTCTAACTTGGGATCAGACTTTCACATCAAAATCTTAATGTTTTGTCACATGCTTCGTAAACAACAGGTGTAGACTAACAGTGAAATGCTTACTTACGGACCCTTCCCAACAATACAGAGAGAGAAAAGAATAGAATTGATCTCTAAGAATGGATTTGTTGAACCATGTAACCTCCAGGATGCAGGACCTGTTCCAGCAGGAGAAGAGCAGGAAGCGTCTGTCTGTCCCAGCCAGCCCTGGGAGACACCGACAGACAGACGACAGCAAGGTCAGTGCAACCGATTCCTGATAGAATTCAGATGATTGGAAGCGCTTAGTATATGATAAGCACTTAGTGTATCAGAAAGCAAGGAATGTAAAGTTGTTTATTTTGTTTGACAGCCAAGTGCTCTGGAGTCCTCTCCACGCAACCCCTCCCCTTTGGTACAAAATGGTGACAAAGGTATGGGGATTGGTTCAGCTTTCAGTCAGAATGCTATACTACTTCTCTCAATGGTGGACAGTAGTTGATGGGTATGTCTGTTATTTGATTGACAGAGGATCGTCACCTCACTGCCATGCCCTCAAGCTGGGGGTCGTCATTGCTAACGTTACCGTCACCAGGGGAACCAGGCTCAGAACCCTTCTTGTCTGGACCCTGCTTCCCTGACCAGGACTCCGTCAGCATCCCAGAGGGTGAACACACACACAACCCCCCACATAAGCTTCCTATCCCCTTTCTCTAGATCTGCAGTGCGTATCTAAATACAGACCTCTCCTGTTCCTAACTCCATTCTCATTGTCTCCTAGATGTGTTTGATGGACACCAGTTGGGCTCCAATGACAGCCTGGTGAAAGAGAAGTCCACAATGAAGGCCATTCTAGCCAACCTGCTGCCAGGAAACAGTTACAACCCCATCCCATTCCCATTGTGAGTACATTATGACTATCTCTGAATAGGCTTTTGGCCAGTAGTATAAATTGTTTAATGATCAGCCATATAAGATAGCATTTTATATAAATGCCAATACTATATTGAGCCCTGTTCATTTTCTTACTTTGTTGTAATGTTTAGCTTGAATCCTAGTGTTGACGGGAAAAATCATCAATATCTCAGGTGCCTCCTACTGCCGTTGTGCCCTTGAGCAAGGCACTTAACCTCTAACCTGCTCCAGGGCACTGCGCTGCTCTGTGGATGACCCTGTGCTGCCGTGTTGTGTTATTGTGTGTCTGGACTGGGCACTGTGAAAGGCCAAATAACAAATATCCTCTGTATAATGACCAACAAAGAGTGTATTGTACTGTTTACTATTGTATGTTTTGTGACGTCATTGTGTCCGTTGTTTGTCAGTGAACCAGACAAGCATTACCTGATGTATGAGCATGAGAGAGTGCCCATAGCCGTGTGTGAGAGAGAACCCAGCTCCATCATATCATTCGCTCTCAGGTAACAGCTCCTCTCCAACTCTTCTCCAGTCTCTTCACATGCCTGACACTTCTGTTCTAAGGTTTTTGTTGTTTTAATGTTATAGTTATGTTGTTCTAACGATATTTTAATGACCTCTGCCCAACCGCTAGCTGTAAGGAGTATAAGAGTGCTCTGGATGAACTGTCAAAGACGACGTTGAAGGCAGGAGGCGAGGATACCACCCAAACCATCAGGTACACCACACAACTTCTGCTGATGTGAACTGTGTGTATGTTACCTGATGTATAATGCCATCCTGTCTGTGTGCAGTTCTGGAGAGAGCTGGGCCAAGAACAGCCCAGCCAAGCCCAACGAGACGGCCTCCTCCCAGATGGGTCTGGTGCGCAGCAGCATGGACTCTGACCCCCTCAGTGAGTAGTAGACAGTCTCAGGGTCAAGGGGCAACATGGGAGGGCGGTGCTAGAAAATCTTGCATTTTTACCTAAGTTCAGCTCTGTTCTGATGTATATTATGTAATGTTTCTGGAGTTCCTAGCATGTTTTTATTTTGCTTTGAACAGAAGATGCAGACATAGGAGACAAGCATAAGAAGTCAACAGGAAACCCTCATATTGAATTACGTGAGTAATGAGTGTTTCTCATTGGACTTCCCTTTGGGATGGCATCACCTCTTAGCCCGCAAACTTCCTCTCAATAACAAGCATAAGGCCTAGTCAGTAACCCATCTCATTCTCTCTCCCTCTCTCTCTCTCTCTTTCTCGCTCTCTCGCTCTCTCTCTCTCACTTTCTTTCTCTCTCTCTTGCTGTCTCTCTCTTCCTCGCTCACTCTCGCTCTCTTTCTCTCCCTCACTCTCTCTCTCTCTCTCTCTCTCTCCTGCAGAGTTCTCTGATGCCAACGCTAAGTTCTACTGCAGGATCTACTATGCTGAGGAGTTCCACAAGATGAGAGGGGAGATCATGGCGAGTACGGAGGACGACTTTGTCCGCTCGCTCTCCCACTGCGTCAACTGGCAGGCCCGTGGCGGCAAGTCTGGGGCCGTCTTCTACGCCACTGAAGGTGACCGTCAACACCAGAGCCATATTGTTTTATTTAACTTCTATTTACCAGGAAGTCCCATTGAGGTCAAGACACGCCATTAAATATGTCTGTTGTACCTCACAATTCAGCCTGTGTATCTTTACCCTCTCTCTCTCTCTCTCCCTCCCTCCCTCCATCCCTCAGATGACCGGTTCATCCTGAAGCAGATGCCTAGACTAGAGGTTCAGTCCTTCCTGGACTTTGCCCCTCACTACTTCACCTACATCACCAGAGCCGTACAGCAGAAGGTAAACTACACTACCCTACCCTACACTAACTACAATAACTACACTACACCTACATCACCGGAGCCGTGCAACAGAAGGTCAACTTCACTACACATCTGGCTTCAGGTCTAGCACAAATATAGTTACATTGACTTAAATAGATACTTTTGCATATATATATATATATATATATATATATATGTGGACACCCCTTCAAATGAGTGGATTCGGCTATTTCATCCACACATGTTGCTGACAGGTGAATAAAATCGAGCACACAGCCATGCTATCTCCATAGACAAGTGATGAATCATGCTTCACCATCTGGCAGTCCGACAGACGAATCTGGGTTTAGCGGATGCCAGGAGAACGCTACCTGCCCCAATGCATAGTGCCAACTGTAAAGTTTGGTGGAGGAGGAATAATGGTCTGGGGCTGTTTTTCATGGTTCGGGCTAGGCCCCTTAGTTCCAGTGAAGGGAAATCTTAACGCTACAGCATACAATGACATTCTAGACGATTTTGTGCTTCCAACTTTGTGGCAATAGTTTGGGGAAGGCCCTTTCCTGTTTCAGCATGACAATGCCCCTGTGCACAAAGTGAGGTCCATACAGAAAAGGTTTGTCGAGATCGGTGTGGAAGAACTTGACTGGCCTGCACAGAGCCCTGAACTCAACCCCATCAAACACCTTTGGGATGAATTGGATCGCCGACTGCGAGCCAGGCCTAATCACCCAACATCAGTGCCCGATCTCACTAATGCTCTTGTGACTAAATGGAAGCAAGTCCCCGCAGCAATGTTCCAACATCTAGTGGAAATCCTTCCCAGAAGAGTGGAGGCTGTTACAGCAGCAAAGGGGGGACCAACTCCATATTAATGCCCATGATTTTGGAATGAGATGTAGCTACATTTGCTGTGTATGGTCTTGCTTTTTAAGTAATACATTTATAAAGATAATTTTATTTGAAGACATTAAAATATTTTAATTGTTTTTTTATATTGTCTTTGATTTTGTAGTTCTATGACATTGTATATGCAGGGCTCCCTTGAAAAAGAGACACTGGTCTCAATGGTGACTCCCTGCTAAAATAAAGGTAAAATAAAAGTATCAATGAGCTGTGTTCTTGTCTGTGTGATGGATGGTTATTGCATGAGATTACAACACAGTCCTATCCTAAACCCTCTGTCTGTCTCACAGCGGCCCACTGCCCTGGCTAAGATCCTGGGTGTGTACCGGATCGGCTTCAAGAACTCCCAGAACAACTCAGAGAAGAAACTGGACCTTCTGGTCATGGAGAACCTGTTCTATGGCAGGAAGATGGCCCAGGTGTTCGACCTCAAGGGTTCTCTTAGGAACCGCAACGTCAAGACCGAGTCTGGGAAGGAGAGCTGTGAGGTGAGCATGGCGCTAGTTTTAGCAGCGCTGGGTCATGGGTTCGATTCTCACTGAGGCCACATATACAAAATAAATATATGCACTCACTGTAATGTAAGTTGCTTTGTTTATTTATGTATTTTTTTTAACCAGGTAAGTCATTGAGAACACATTCTCTTTTGCAATAATGACCTTTGGATAAATGACCTTTGGGAAAAAGCATTAGCTGAATGGCATCATTCTATATTAGGTGGTTCTGCTGGATGAGAACCTACTGAAGCTGGTCCATGACAACCCTCTGTACATCAGAGCCCACTGCAAGGCCATCCTCAGGGCCGCTATCCACAGTGATGCCCACTTCCTGTCTAGTCACCTGATCATAGACTACTCTCTGCTGGTTGGACGAGACGACGCCACAGACGAGCTGGTGGTGGGAATCATAGGTGAGGGAAAAGCTTTATCTCTTTCAAATGTATTCTCATTGGCTATAACATTGATCATTGTTATGCATAGATTAACTGTTTTCTGGTGCTTATAGAAAATCATTCTTCATTTCTCCATGCATGCTGCTTCAAAAATGCATTTGAGTGACATTGTACTTTGCTGTATTTGTAACACAAACGTTCCTCCCATTGTATCAGATTACATACGGACGTTCACATGGGATAAGAAGCTGGAGATGGTTGTGAAATCCACAGGGATCCTGGGAGGGCAAGGTAATTCATCATCTGTCAAACACTAACACCTCCTTCCCCCTACGTTAGTCCTTCAAGTCTATTTTAAGATTGCGCCCTTTCATGTTTAGCTTTGAGATCTCTAGTAATTCGTTTTTAATAATATAGACCTTTTGATTTCTTCCTGTAAATGAAAAGCGCTATTCAAATAAAATGTATTATTAACGTTTTGTGTCTCGTTCACAGGGAAGATGCCCACGGTGGTCTCTCCAGAGCTGTACCGAGCCCGTTTCTGTGAGGCTATGGACAAATACTTCCTGATGGTGCCTGACCACTGGACAGGGCTGGGGGTCAACTGCTGAACTGTTACACCAGTGAGCTAGCCTGAGTCCCAGACCTGTTTGTGTTGTCTAGCCAATTCCTATGTCATTTTCACGGCATGTTTGGCAAGACAGCATAAACGGATCTGCAACTCAGGCTACCAGGGAGCTGCTAGCTACAGAACACATAGGCATCAGTCACCAAGGCAGAGAGGAGACCACAATGCAGAAAAACCCTTAGCCCAATATGGAACCATAAAAGCACACTGGATTGATGGATGAAGAAGGAAAATAATAGAAGAGGAAGAGTAATGCAAAAGAAAATTGATGAAATGCAAAGGAAAGAATGGCCAGTTGTACGACTCAATCATTCCATAATAATAATCATAGAATTTACCACAGGCAGACCTAGAGCTGGATAAACTTGTTATCATAGACTAGACGAGTGACTCTTCATGACTGTTCTTTGAAATGATGACTGAACCCAGAGTTGTTCCTGGCCTGGAAATAAATAAACTGCTGTCCCTAATCATGGACATATCTCTCTGAGGGAAGAGATTATCTTGAAGTGCCAAGATGTCCAACTGTTTCAAAAGGACACAGTGAGATAGCACTTAAAAAATAAACTCTTACTTGGTCCTAGTTTGGTGAACAAACTAATCGATGTGATGTAAAGGTTTGTAAATGTACAGAGATTATGTAATTAAAGATTATTAACTGATTTCACAAGGTTTTAAACCTTAATGTCAGTGAGATGATTTTGTGTGCCTCCTGTCTTGTATGTCTACATAGATTTGATGGTAGAAAGTCATTGTTCATCACTACATGTAGTGGGAATTGCTTTACCGGTATATTGACTCCTTACCCACTTAAAAACAATCTAGTAATTTTAGGTTTTCGAAGATTGAACTAGAGGGTCCATTCTCTCAGGTAAGCTTTAGATGGCTAAAAACATAAGCAATGTTAGGTTTACTTGGTATCAAATAGGAAAGCACACGATTCACACACAGCACTAAATTAAAACAGATTTTTATATTATAATTGTACAATTAATTCGTATAAAACAAAGGGAAGCCGGCAAACAGCCTTCAGCGTTTCATACTGCATCAGGAACTGGTATGAAAATCAATCTAACACAGTGAAACGATTGTCACGACTGACATAACATAATATGGACAGACCATGTCTGTTCCAAATCCCACCCTATTCCCGATAGTGCACGACCTTTGACCAGGGCCCATAGGATTCTGGTCAAAAGTAGTGCCATTTGGGACACACACCCAATCTCTCCGTTACTCTCATTTCCAACGACAAGCCTTTAGAAACGGAGGCGTTGAACTAACATTGTGCTTTTTACGTGTGTTCTGGGGTTCTCCTTTTCTGTGGTAGAGATAGTTATTACAGACAAGGCTGTGCTTTACAATGACACCGTATGTACAAAAGCAGAAACATACTTCATTTCGTTTGACATCTTGTAGCAGGCATACATATACACACGGGCACATCTGACCATATCTGAGCAGTTAAACATTGGTGTGAGAACACACCCGATTCTACTTATTAGCTGCTCAACAAGACCTTAACTAGCTGAATCAGATATGCTAAATTAGGGTTGGACTGAAAACCTACAGGACAGTAGATCTCCAGGAAGAGGGTTGGGCAGCCCTGATGGAGATACTCATTAGAGCAGGGCTCTCCAACCCTGTTCCTGGAGAGCTACCCTCCTGTAGGTTTTTGCTCCAACCCCAGTTGTAACTAACCTGATTCAGCTTATCGACCAGCAAATTATTAGAATCAGGTGTGCTTTATTAGGGTTGGAGTGAAAACCTAAAGGATGGTAGCTCTCCAGGAACAGGGTTGGAGAGCGCTGCGTTAGAGGATACACTTTTTAGGAGAATAAAAATTATACAAAAGGTGTAACAAGGCACTGGACAGGTTTAAGAGACGGGCACATTGCTGGTAGGTAGACAACAGAGACTGGCACATTGCTGGTAGGTAGACAACAGAGACTGGCACATTGCTGGTAGTAGACCGAGATGGCACATGCTGTAGGTAGAAAGACTGGCACATTGCTGGTAGGTAGACAGAGACTGGCACATTGCTGGTAGGTAGACAGCAGAGACTGGCACATTGCTGGTAGGTAGACAGCAGAGACTGGCACATTGCTGGTAGGTAGACCAGAGACTGGCACATTGCTGGTAGGTAAAGAGGCAATGCGTAGTAAGAGACTGGCACATTGCTGGTAGGTAGACAGCAGAGACTGGCACATTGCTGGTAGGTAGACAGAGACTGGCACATTGCTGGTAGGTAGACAGCAGAGACTGGCACATTGCTGGTAGGTAGACAGAGACTGGCACATTGCTGGTAGGTAGACAGCAGAGACTGGCACATTGCTGGTAGGTAGACAGCAGAGACTGGCACATTGCTGGTAGGTAGACAACAGAGACTGGCACATTGCTGGTAGGTAGACAACAGAGACTGGCACATTGCTGGTAGGTAGACAACAGAGACTGGCACATTGCTGGTAGGTAGACAACAGAGACTGGCACATTGCTGGTAGGTAGACAACAGAGACGGAACGGGGGAGGAGGAGGAAGAGAAGAGGGGTCAACGTCCTGCTGTCCTTTACATTTCAAGTGCAGGCAGTATTCTGTACCATAATATAAACATGAATAAATACCGTACAGGTGTCAACCTCTTCACTGGAGACCTGATCTGACATACTGTATCTGGGCATGTAAACGACTGAACCACTGTGGTCCTGTAACACGAGGGACAGAAGTTTCCTAACTGACCACATGACAGGATCAGGAACAACGCTGGGTCCTAGTTACGTATCGCCAATAACTACAGCTCAGAGTTGTTCCAGGACAGTTGATGTGATCAGGAAAAAAACTCAGGGCCCAATGTCAGATTTGTTTTGGTGTGGGAACATAGAACAGGTTGAAATGGGGCCACTTCTTTGCATAAAGGCCAGACTCTGACTACACATGCACTGTAACTAGAGGAAACGCATTATACCCTGTTTTTCTATTATAGACTTAGAAGTGAATTCTGGAATTGTGCTTCAGTTGGTTTGTGCTCTACTCACATGACAGGGCAGAAAGACAGACCAGGACGTACCTTTCCATGCATACCTAGGCTACCCAGACACAAAAATGAACATATATACTTGTGTTAAGTCAATATTTGGTACATCAACCAACTAAAAGAAAAAAGGTTACAATTCGACTGGGTCTCTTTTCATAAGAACAATCAAAAATTGCTTTAATAAAAAAAGGTCTCAGCCTGTCATAGATAGCCAAGCTGGATACACAGTACCAAGGGTGATCTGGAGAATCATGGTCAGGTTAGGGGTCGAGCTCCATCCCTCCAGCCTTTAGGGGGGACAATGTCCTGTGCAAGCCCCCACTGAGAGGTTTTGCTCTGGGACACGAGCGAGGAATGAGGGGTGGTCAGTGGTGGGAAAGTGCTGATCTGCAGACATCCAGGTAGTCTGATAAGAGTCACGGTCATAGTGATCAAAAGGTTTCTGAGTCCGAGTCGTTTTCAGTGGCACCCTGACTGGCACTGCCCTCGCTAGAGGGGTCCGAGGGGGCCTTGGGGCTGCGAGGGCCATGGGAGCTCTTCTCCTGCCTGGGTAGGGACCTCAGGAGGGAACCTGGGGAGGGCGCTCCAGAGCTGCAAGGGGAGTAGAAAGGCATCATGGTAGCCAGAATGAGAGCCAGACAGTCAGCCACCTCCCTGCTAGGAGCGCAAGCCAGAGCAGGGGTCAAACCTGGGGGACAGATAGAAAGTAGGGGGAGAGAGAGAGTGGGCGAGATAGGGGATAGAGTGGGTGGGAGAGAGAGATGGTAGAGAGAGAGAGAGATAGGGATAGAAAGAGATGGTAGAGAGAGAGATAGGGATAGAAAGAGATGGTAGAGAGAGAGATAGGGATAGAAAGTAGGGAAGAGGAAGGGAGATAGAAGGGAAGAGAAAGAGAAATAGGGGGGAGGAAACATGGAAGAAGTGGGGGAGAGCGAAGCAAAAAAACAGAGAGCGATGGTGGGACAAGGGATGGGAGGACAACAGGAGAAAGCAGCATTCAATTAGTACACAGCCAGCCTAGACACCAGACAGTACACAGCCAGCCCAGACACCAGACAGCACACAGCCAGCCCAGACAGTACACAGCCAGCCAGACACCAGACAGTACACAGCCAGCCAGACACCAGACAGCACACGCCAGCCCAGACACCAGACAGTACACAGCCAGCCCAGACACCAGACAGTACACAGCCAACCCAGACACCAGACAGTACACAGCCACTCCCAGACACCAGCAGTACACAGCCATCCCAGACACCAGACAGTACACAGCCAGCCCAGACACCAGACAGTACACAGCCAGCCCAGACACCAGACAGTACACAGCCAGCCCAGACACCAGACAGTACACAGCCAGCCCAGACACCAGACAGTACACAGCCAGCCCAGACACCAGACAGTACACAGCCAGCCCAGACACCAGACAGTACACAGCCAGCCCAGACACCAGACAGTACACAGCCAACCCAGACACCAGACAGTACACAGCCAGCCCAGACACCAGACAGTACACAGCCAGCCCAGACACCAGACAGTACACAAGCCAGCCCAGACACCAGACAGTACACAGCCAGCACCAGACACCAGACAGTACACAGCCAGCCCAGACACCAGACAGTACACAGCCAGCCCAAACACCAGACAGTACACAGCCAGCCCAGACACCAGACAGTACACAGCCAGCCCAGACACCAGACAGACACAGCCAGCCCAGACACCAGGACAGTACACAGCCAGCCCAGACACCAGACAGTACACAGCCAACCCAGACACCAGACAGTACACAGCCATCCCTAGACACCAGACAGTACACAGCCAGCCCAGACACCAGACAGTACACAGCCAGCCCAGACACCAGACAGTACACAGCCAGCCCAGACACCAGACAGTACACAGCCAGCCTAGACACCAGACAGTACACAGCCAGCCCAGACACCAGACAGTACACAGCCAGCCCAGACACCAGACAGTACACAGCCAGCCCAGACACCAGACAGTACACAGCCAGCCCAGACACCAGACAGTACACAGCCAGCCTAGACACCAGACAGTACACAGCCAGCCCAGACACCAGACAGTACACAGCCAGCCCAGACACCAGACAGCTACATAGACATGCCAACACCACAGAACCACAGACAGCTGATATAATAGCAGCATGCAGTTAGATCCCTTTAACACACTGGTACCGGTTCATGCCCAGACCAAGGCGCGGTTTTCCCAAAAGTATCTTTAGGTTAAGTTCATCGTTAGAACCATATGGTTCTAAGATGAACTTAACCTTAAGATGCTTTTGGGAAATCGGGCCCAGACCTGTAGACCTACCGTTCTCATCCAACGTCTGAACACTGGCCCCCCTGGACAGCAGCTCCTGGACAGCCTGCTTCAGACCACTACGGGCCGCTAGGTGGAGGGGCCTGGGAGGGACAGACAAATCAGAAAGATTGTAGTGGTTCTGTAGTGGGGAGGGGCTAAATCTGCGGTTTCCGTTATTTTATTTATTTTTATCTAGACACTTGCACCTCAGAAGTAAATCGGAGGTAGCTAGCTAGCGCACGGCTCTGAGATTAACCATGTCCTATCTCTGACGAACACTTACGTCTGCAGTGCTGCGTTGGTGGCACCTATGAGAACAGTGTCCTTCAGCCTCTCCAGGATGAATAGTACA